AACTGGAAGCAAGACTTATTTCCAAGCTTTCTCGATGAGCGCCGATGCTCAAAGTACCCTGAACGCGATCAGCTCGGCAAATGAGCAAATCGCATCGGCAAAGAAGATTGTTATCGTTGGCGGAGGTGCGACAGGCGTAGAATTCGCGGGCGAGGTTGCTGAGCATCGCAACGGCAAGCCAGGGTGGTTCAGCAAGGTGCAGCCAAAAGTTGACGTTACGCTGATCACATCGGACAAGCAGCTTCTCCCCGGTCTCCGGCCTGCAATTGCCAAAGTTGCAGAGCAGAAACTCAAAGCGCTCGGGGTAGAGATCGTCTACAACACGCGAGTGGTTGATTCAACGCAGACAAAAGATGGTCGCACGGCGCTGACCCTCAAGGACGGTGGCAAGCTTGAAGCAGACCTCTACGTTCCCGCTTACGGCGTTCAACCAAACTCGTCGTGGCTGCCAGATCAATTGCTCAATGAAAAGGGCTACCTCGTAACGAACGATTCCACCCTTCGCGTCGACATTGCAGGCCCCCGTGTCTACGGCTTCGGCGACATCGCATCATATTCGCGCAACAACTACTGGGACATTAACCTGGCTCTGCCTACCCTAGTCACCAACATCAAGCGCGACCTGCTCTCTTACAACCCCATGCTTCCAGAGGCGAAACCCAAGGGCAAGGACAGAGTGTACACGGCTAACACGACCGAGTCTATGGTTGTCCCCATCGGTAGCGGAGGCGGTGTTGGTGCCGTTTTTGGATGGAAGGTACCTTCATTCTTCGTGTGGATTCTGAAGGGGAGGGATTACATGTTGGGGATGAGTGGGCTGCCGACGCTGAATGGGGACAAGGTCAAGAAGGAGGTCAAGTGGACGAAGGAGGAGGCTGCGATCTGAGTTTGACTGTATGCATGGCGAATTTTCCTATTCTCATAGCTTGCGATGTTTCCGTGTCCTTTGCAGTTGTAGAATCTTGGTAATGTTAATAATGCTTAATATCACATGCGCTTTCCCGAGACTCTTTGTGTGTTGTGGATGATGACTGCTCTGCGGAGAAGGATGCAACGCGATTGGTTTCGAGCTCGCTCCACGACGGCGCGCTCCGCGTCGACATCACTCCTTTCCACCCTTGGACCCCACGTACACGGCGCAAATGCGGGGTGAGTAGGACATCAAATGGATTTCGTACGTCTTCGCCCTGCTGCAGCTATGGTTCGCGCACTGACGACAGCAAGTGGGTGAGGCTACTCGGCGGGTCGTCCCAGAAGAAGAAGCAGGCCGCCCCGAACAACCCGCAACAGCGGCTGGCACGCTTCCGCCAGCGCTACAATCAGATACTGGTACGCCTGGCTGAGCAACTCGAAATGCTGCGAGTCTGACACATGGCAGCAAACATGGCAGAAGTCGACCAACCTCGCCCACGACCGCGAAGCGCTGGGCAACATCCGGCGCGGCTTCCAGGCCCTCACAGCCATCCTCAGCGACGAGTCGCGATCCCCCGCGCCGCACATGTGCCTCCAGTTCGCCGCCGCCCAGCAGATATACACGGCCGTCTCCAAGATCGCGGCGACGGCACACGACGAGGGTACCGTTAGGGACGCCGTGGCCTTCTACAATGCCCTCATCGACAGCGAGGAAGAGGACTTCCTCGAGAACGACGTCTTCGCCGCCTCGCTCATGAACTTCATCGACCGCACAGTCGGATCTGGCAGCATGGGCATAGGAGAGGACATCGAGGCCGACATCGTGGAGCTGCTCTTCGGCATCGCAGCCAAGATCCGGCTACAGCCAGAGATTCTGCATGTCTGGTTCACGACTACATCCGCAAACAGCGAGGGACGAGTGCTGAATCCCAAAACCGATTTCGCCGGCGTCACACAGAAAGAGGACTTCCCGTTGTGCTATCAGCTCATCGACCATGTCCACCACGAAGGCCGTATCGGGGATTTTGCGCGCACCGGACTGCTGTACATATTCGAGTCTGCGTCCAGGTCCATGGATCTGGAACAGTGGATCGTCAATAGTGATCTGCCTACGCTCATGGCGACTGGCTTGGGAGCACTTTACAGCCAGATGAGCAGGTATGAAGCGCACCGAACCCGAGACAACGAAGCTAACATTCCCCAGAAAGCTGTCGATACTCCACCCCGCGCATGACCTGCCTCCTGTCTTACTACTCTCCGACTACACCGAGATGCAGCCCAATCCACAAGCAGAGAACTTCTTCACACCCGACTTCCAGAGCCATCTTCTCACCTTCTTGTCTTACCTTGCCTTCTGGCAAGATGTGCTCGAGCATTGCAGATCTCTGGATGTCAGAGTAACATTGATTGACCACTTCCAAGCTTTGTTCCTCCAGCAGCTATTGTGTGTTACTCTCATATGTCTTCAATATGTACACAGCTGACTCCGTGCAGATACCCTTCACTACTTGAGTCGTCCGACGCCGATGGCGGTTCATCCGTCGCAGTACTTACGTACCTTCGCCATATACTAGATGCGCTTGACCACCCCGAGCTCGTGCACATGATGCTTCAGTATCTACTCGCACTCCTGGACTACGCGTCTACCACGACACCACGGTCCCCCGCAGCTGTCAAGCGCCGTCAGTCACTTATGCTGCTTACTGCATCGGATAAGGATGAAGACAAATTGAACCCATCCTTGTTTAATCTGGTCGACTTGGTCTTGGGAAGCACCGCATCGCGCAATCCACAGACGGTCATTGCATCATTGAAGTTGACGACTGTGATACTGAGCAAAAGCCATGGATACGCTCTCGGATCTCTCGTCAAGGTGATGAACTTGCATCATAAAGAACACAATAGAACTGTTGGATCCCTGAACAAGGAGCTTGAGCTGTACCTAAACCTCGCCATCGATCTCGCCGGCTTGGAAGGTGTTGATGAAGCGTACGAGAACTATCTAAAAGATACTCTGAGTTTGTTGGAGTCACATCCCTGCTCTTTGAAGACCATCGCTTTACCCACGACGTCATCGAAGAGTCCAGGATACTTCGACTCGACGGAAGCTTCAGCTAGAGAGGTGGATCCACATCAGTTGCTTCCAGAAGATCCGCTCTTCCAGTCTCTCATGGATTTACTTCTGAGGTTCCTTACGAACGATGTCGAGACAAATCTGGCGCTTACTGAAGCATTGATTACGCTCGGCACCTGCTCACAACTGCGTCTGGAAGGATGGTTATCCGTGGATCCTGCCGACTACCACTTCGAAAGCGACAGTCCTGAAGTCGAGTCGTTCACGAATGACAATTTGCGCGCCATGTTCCTGGCAGAAAGGTTTCCGAAATGGGAGCCCTCTGCTACCCCTCAGCTGTTTGCATGTCTGCAACGTCTCCAGGCGCAAGTCGATGCCCTGCGCAGCGATATCAAGGACTGGGACGAGCACGTCGCGAACCGTAAGCATGCCTTCCGCTTCCATCAGGATCTCGTAGAGGAGTCAAAAATGTCGACGCCCCAGTCAAAGCCTGCGCGACCTCCCTCAGAAACTCCAGCTGGATCTTGGACGCCGCAAATACCACAACACGTACGTAACCAACCGACGACCCCCTCCAGAGCGCAATCTCCGAGAGGCAGGAAGGAAACTCTTTCTGAAGCAAGGAACACCCCCACTACATCACCCGCACCATCAAGATATGGAGGCCAGACGCTCGTTGGTTCACCTGCCCGAGCATCGTCCCCTATGTCAGGAACATACGCCGTACAGCAGCCTTCTTTGATGTCCGACGTCGATGCTAGCATATCACAGATCAGGATGAGTCAGTTCGGCAAGAGACGCATTCGCTTCCGCCGGCCGGCTGGATCGAAGGAGGTAGAAGTCATGCTATCGAAGTTCCAACCACCACCAAAGGAACCTTCTGATGAAGCGGCGACTGGTGCTGAGGATACAGAAGACGATGATATTCGAGAGGCGAGCTTGCTGCACATCATCACAAACGTGGTCATACTGCAGAACTTTGTGTTGGAGCTGGTTGCGTTGATGCAGGTTAGGTCAAGCCTGTTCAATGAGGTCAGATTCATCTGATTGTAGGTTTGCCGAGGGAAGCGTTTGATGTAGTAAGAATATACCCATTTTCATCTCTTCTTCAGTACGTCCCGAGGAACATATTGTAGACCAGTCAAGATTACCTAGGCATCTTCCGAGGCATCTTCGCGCACGTGCACGTCGGCCGCTTTCGGGATGGGCTCTGCAGCGGAGAGTTTCCGACAGCCCCTCCAACGTCATCTCCCACACTTTCACATGTCGATCATTCCACCCCTCATCCATCATCAGACGCTCGCCTACACGAGCTTGTGAAAGCGCGAACCCGGAAACACGCGAGACTCGAATTCAGGCATAACACCAGGATTGCATGTGCTATCATCCCAAGCAGGCCATGATGAACGGCCAATTGCTTGGGCAGCTGGGCAACTGTGGCTCGGCAACGTAATTCCTCGAGCCGATCGCCGGCCGAACGACATCAGCGCATCGTAACTTCCGCTCGCCCACCCAAGGCGAAATCCGGGGTTTGCCAAGGTACCCCATTGTTTGCCAGCTGCCAGACAAACGCGTGCCAGTCGACACTAAGACACGCGGTCTGGGCTCACGCAAGGGCCGAGGCTGGCGGAGCAAATGGGTGTTTGTCCTCACACCCGCGGGTAGTCAAGGCAGGCTTCTGATCAGCAATGTATGGAATATGACTGAATGATTTCCTTGCGCTCGTGCTTTTCTCGCTTTCCTAAACCTCATTTCGAGTCTCCTTCTTGATACCCGTTGCATGGCTGTTGCTATTGATTAGCTTGCTTGCTCTCCCTCTGTCGTCATCTCTAGAAGCCGAGGTTTCTAAAGCGCATTACAGCTCCCATTCCGAAAATTGGGCTACAGCTCAGGGTCGCTCCTTCAGTGTCATAATCTCGTGTAACCCCACGTGCTCGTGCCTTGGACGGCCTTTGGTCCCAATTCCTCGCAGCAAACACCTTCCTGAACCCTTGCGCTCCCAACTCTACACAACATGTCTGCGAAATCAGTACAAGGGCCTGGCGGCAAGAAGCCCGCGTCGGCGGCCACAAACTTGATCGGTAAGCCTCAAGTTGGGAATTTGGAGGGTATGCGACCGCGATGGCAGGATGCTGACGCGACATGAAGCCGGTGGTGGTGCTGGAATGATGGAGGCACTCGCGTGTCATCCTCTCGGTGAGTTACAAGTCCTAAGCCTATATCATCTGCGCGTCAAGTCTAATTGGATATCAGATACGATCAAAGTCCGCATGCAATTGTCAAGACGAGCTCGCGCTCCAGGAGTATGTTCCAACTTATACTTTCGAAGCAGTCGGCATACACTATCCAGAACGTCACTGATTGGTGTACATTACAGGCAAAAAAGCGCGGGTTCATTACGACCGGAACCGAGATCGTGAAGAGAGAGACAGCATTAGGCCTATATAAGGGATTAGGCGCCGTTCTCACAGGCATCGTCCCGAAGATGGCCATACGCTTCACGAGTTATGAGTGGTATAAGCAGATGTTAGCGGACAAAGAGGGCAATGTCGCGTCAAAATCTACATTTATGGGTAAGTCTGAAGCTCGCGGAATCGCAAGGCGCATCTCTTCGATACAGAGTTTGCTCAACAATGATCGAATACTAACACTCTACAGCTGGCCTTGCCGCTGGTGTCACGGAGGCCGTTCTCGTCGTCACACCTATGGAGGTCGTCAAGATCCGTCTTCAAGCGCAGCACCACTCGATGGCCGATCCGCTCGATATACCCAAGTACCGAAACGCCGCGCATGCCATGTATACTGTCATCAAGGAAGAAGGTGCAGGCGCATTATGGCGTGGTGTCTCGCTCACAGCCTTGCGCCAGGGAACAAACCAAGCGGCAAACTTCACTGCATATTCGGAACTCAGGGCACAATTACAGAAGTACCATGGCACAACAGATCTGCCGGGCTATGAGACGAGTTTGATCGGTCTGATTAGTGGTGCTGTTGGTCCGTTTACGAACGCGCCGATCGACACCATCAAGACGAGGTTGCAGAAGACGCCTGCGGAGGCAGGTCAAACTGCTATTCAGAGGATAGTAAACATCGGAAAGTAAGTTCTCGAGCGCAACCAACTTCCGAGTGTTAGCTGACAATTCACAGCGACATGTGGAAGCAAGAAGGTATCCGCAGTTTCTACAAGGGTATCACACCGCGTGTGATGCGAGTAGCCCCCGGTCAAGCTGTCACATTTACCGTGTACGAATATCTGAAGGGTGTGTTGGAGAAAGGCAGAGAGATGCTCCCTGGTGGGGCATATGAGGAGTGAGCTTGCATTGTGTTTCACAGTCCGTTGAAGAGCGCCCTTCGATAAGCATAGGTTGATTTCCAAGCATGTTGAAGCCTGTAATTCATGTGAAATACAACAACAAATGAATTTCAGAAACGCCACTCAGGGACCAGACTGCATGATGGAAGCAGGGCTGCCAAGGTGCATCGGCCGTCCAGCCCACCTGCCCCACTATAGTACAGCATCACCGCTGGTTCGACGTCAGTGTACACGTTGAAATCAGTGCATTCAACAACATTACAGCCTCTACTTTGAGTGTCCCGACAACCACAGAATATAGTGCAGTAGAGACTTGCCAAGATGCAGTCTGGTATCTCCGGTAACGATCTTCCAGCGCGTTCCAACCTCGCACCCCACTAACAACCCCCATAGCTTCCCAGGAGCTCAAATCCGCCGTCGGCAGCCTCATAACCTCAAGCTCGCAACGCGGAATCCTAGCCACAATCCAAAGCGAAACTATCATCCCCAGCGACACCATATCCTCGTCAGCATCGACTTTCCTCGCCGACCTCTCCAATCTCCAATCCCACATCCAGCCCAATGCCGCACTCTACATCCTCCTCCGCCGCGCCGACTCGCTCTCCTCGCCCGACAAATCTCTCGTAGCCGTAACATACGTACCCAATGCCGCGCCCGTACGCCAGAAAATGCTCTTCGCATCCACGCGCCTCACTCTCGTGCGTGAACTAGGCGGAGAGCATTTCAGCGAGAGTGTCTTCACGACCGAAGCATCAGAGCTCACGCCGGAGGGCTGGGAGAAACACATTGCGCACACAGCGTCTGATAATCCGCTGACAGCGGAGGAACAGTCGCTGCAGGATATCAAGGATGCCGAGGCCCTGGAGAGCAGAGGCACACGCGGCCAGGGTCTGGCCCAAGGAGGCAGAATCGCCATTCGGGCTGATGATGAGATTGGCGGGGCGTTGAAGAAGTTGGGACAGGGTGGAACGGATAACCTCGTGCAATTGCGCATGGACGGCGCGTCGGAGACGCTGCAGCTTGTGTCTTCTTCGTCAGCGACGCCTTCGACTCTCTCACGGGCTATCGATGCCAAGGAGCCGCGGTACTCGTTCTACCGTCATGATGACGCTGCCGCGAGTATCGTATTTATCTCGACGTGTCCGAGCGGAGCGAAGATTAGGGAGAGGATGCTGTATGCAGCGAGTAGGGGTAATGTGGTCAGTCTGGCGCAGAACGATGGTGGGCTCAAGGTGGAGAAGAAGATTGAGGCGACGGATCCGGATGAGATTACTGAGCAGGTTATCCTGGACGAGTTTAAGGTGGAGAAGAAGGAGGAGAGCAAGGGTTTTGCGAAGCCAAAGAGACCTGGACGGCGGTAGGTGGTAAAAGCATGAATGTGGACAACACGATGGGCGGCAAAACCTATCATCAAAATCATAACCATCAAGATGACAATGGATATCATTCGCATCGTACTGCACAAGTTCGACTGGCACTGTGCTACTATCTACTCTCCGTTCCTCAAGAAACCCCGGTTACCATGAGGCCTCCTCTCTATCTTCTTCCCGAACCTAACGCCGGGTTTCCCTGCCTTCTTGTCCATTTCGCGCCCCTTCAACCAGTGTTCACGTACGTTCTTTGTATTCCTGTTGACCTTGGGCGGCAGCACCCGGTTTTGCTGTGCCAAAACCGCTACGCTGAGCTTGCCCTTCTTCACATCCTTCGCTGGCTTGTCGACGCGCTCCAGGAACTTGATATGGTGGTTGAGCTTCTCCTTCCTAAGTTCCTCCTCCGTCTTTCCGCGCCGCTGGGGCGGTGGCGTGGGAGGGCGTTGGTCGTCGATGGTCTCGAGGAGGGAAGCGGGCAGGAGACCGTTTGATACGTCGATGTCCATGCGCGACGCAACTTCTGGCTCTTTGTCGAGGAGGCCGGTGGCAGCCTTTGCTTCCTTGGCAGCTTTCTTTGCCAGTTTCTTCGCCTTCTTCTCCTCACGCTCGCGCTTTGCAGCTTGTTGGGCGGCAACGAGTTCCTCGCGCGCTTGTCGCTTAGCCTGTTCCTTTGCTTGTTGAGCTTGCTGCGCGCGGTCGGCTTCGGCTTGCGTAGCTCGTGCTTTCGAACTTGCAGCAGCTGTGGTGACTACCTCAGGGGCTTCGTCGTCCGAATCGCTTGCTTCGTCCTGGTCGACTTGGCTTGTTTGCGTTGGGGGTAGTGACTCGATGGGCTGAGAAGCTTCATATCGCTTGTGGCCTTGCTTGATCGCAACGGGCGAATCTTGCGACTCGGCAGGCTCCTCGCTACCAAAGCGTCTATGCGTCTTTTCAGGTTGTGCTGAAGGAGGCGCGTCGCCTTGCGAGGGTATAGGAGCTGTGCTGCTCTCGTACGAGGACGTTGGAATCTCGTCGGGGAACTTGGACGGCGTCTCTACAACCTTCTTCGGGCGGCCTCTGCCTCTCTTGGCTGAGCCTGGTACTAGCGTCTGGCCATCTCCCGTCTTAGCCTTGGGTGTAGGTGATCCCTCAGGTTGCTTAAATGTTGTGGCGGGCGTCGCGTATACTGATCCTGAATTTGAACCAGGCTGCTGCGCTGGTGTGTAAAAGGACGGATTTTGTGAAGTTGCTGGCGCCTCTTCCCTGCCTTCACCGAAGCTGTCCGTGGCCGTCGAATCATCCGGCGACTTCCTGCTGACTACAACGTGGGGGCTCGATCGGCGTCGGAGTGGCAGAAATCCATCCTGTGTCGGCGTCTGAGGGTCTTGGGTCGCAGGCGCCGCGGCGACAGCGATTGTGTCCGAGACATCTTCTACGGACTCTTGCGAAAGTCCTTGTGAAGGCGCATCCGAATCGGCCGACTGCTTGGCAGATCTCTTCTTGGAGGACGACGTCGGCGCAGACTTCCTCTGCCTTTTCGTTTGTGTCGGCGTCTCTAGCGACTCGAGTTCTCGCTTTCCTGCGGCTTTCCTTGTCGAGCTGCGCGGCGTCGGTGTCGGTGCGCCTGGCGTCTCTGTTCCGCCTCGTGTAGTGACCATTGCGTCTTCGTTGCTGTGGGTTGGTACGCGTCGTGTACGAACCGCGGCTGTTCTTGTCGTTGCTGCGTTGGTGGATCGCGCGATGTGGAAAAGATTCTGGCGTGCCAAGATTTCGCGGCCATTGCGGACCCCCGAGACTAGCGGGCCTGGTGAATCCCAAGGATCACCGCATCGCCATTCACCAACTATCGGGCAGTCATCTCGTAACTATGTCGACTCCTCGCGCAGTATTACGCTCAGCAAGCGCATTCGCGCGTCTAGAGCCATGTTTGTCGTGCCGATCGCGTCAAACAACTCTAGCCATCCGCTACAATGCTACGAGATATCCAATGGCCTCGCATTGGCTTGCAACAGGCATGCGAACCCAGAATTATTCCATCAACCGAAAATTGGATCCAAAAGCACGTGTTGAAGTTGATACTCGCGCTCGACTGGGCTTCTACACCATATGCAAGCAACAAAAAGTACTCAATATCGAGCCGCGGACGGCTCTGAGCATCTATAATGACTTCGTTGCGAAAACGAAAACAACTTCCCATAGCGACAACGTTTTGCGGATAGTCGAGAGTAGGTTCGCGGCCCATACTCCCCTCTATAGATGGCACTGACATGAGCAGAATACAACGTCCGATTAATTGATATTACATCTCTTGCGATGGCCACATTCAAAGTACCCGATCTCAGCAATCCAGAGATAAGAGCTCGACTGCCTCCTAGTCAGCACAAAGAAGTCGCTGTTATGCTTCTGCAAGGATGTGCGCAAGCTGGGGATCCTCTCGCGATCGTACACATCCTGACTGTCGTCTACCTTGGCAGTTTGGGCAACCAGCCCGCTCAAGAGATTGCAAGGCTCTTTCCACAGAAAGATATCGCCCAATACCGCCAGCTGCTCGACACGATTGACTTGCAGACCTTGGAAAAGACTCCAACTCTGGTAGTTGAAGTTTTGACTCTAAGAGGACTCTTCCTTGAGCAAGCAGGACAGAAGCAAGAGGCCATAAAAGCATACCAAGAAGCCATCAAGCCTTCAACTATTAATGATCAAACTGGAAGGTCATTAACGCATGCGATGCAATTTCCCCTTATAGCACCCTGGAATGCGCTCGGTTATCTACTCAAGGCAGACAAAGATCCGAAAGTACAGGCAGAAGCCCAGTCATATTTCCAGAAAGGCGCTCTCGAAGGTGATGATCCGCTTTCATACTACGAACTCGCAGCCTATGAGCCGAAAGCAAGCGAAAAGTGGTTGCGGTATACGAGCAAAGCAGCAGCATCCGGTCACAGACAAGCCATACTGGACCTCACTGGCTTCTATCAAGAAGTGGCAGCATCGAACTCGTCTGTTTTAGAAAACGGTAGCATACGACATGCGCTCAACTGGTTACTGACCTGGAGACGCGGAAGCGCCGCGAAGCTTGCGCGAGAGTGGTTACATGTGGCGTCTGTCGTTGGACACAAACCTTCCATGTTACAACTTGCGGAGTATCACAAGTCTATTGGTCATGAAGAAGAATACAGGAATTATTTGCGTATGATAGTCGACTCTGACAGCGCGGCCCTTTACAAAGAAGAGGCACCACAGCTTGTGCAAGTTGCGAGGTTGCGGCTTGCGGGAACCCGGTAACAGCCAATACAACCAGTAGGAGACCATGGCCTGTATACTCCATTCTCTTCCAGTGTATCATGCGTGTTCGCCGCGCTCATACGCGCAGCCTGGTATCGTTTCAGAAGCTACATTCATCTGAAGTGTCTATCAGACAATTACGCAACTGTTCGATGATTCTGCGCAAACGATCTCCACCCCAGATCGATCTCGTACTACGCATTAGACATACATATGTGTGTTGAAAGAGATCTTGGTCATATCCTCGACAAAACGACTATCTCCGGATCTACCCCGGCCTACCCCACCTCGGCAGGTGAGCTACTGGCCTTCCTTATCTGGCACTCTGATAGTGGCCACAGCATCCGATGACTGCTTGAAGACTTATATTCATCGTCAGTATGATCATCTACCTACTTAACACATGCCATTCTGCATCTTCACGAAGACATTAAGCACAATCTACCGTCAAAACTCGATCTTTGATCACCTCAATCTAGCATAACATCTATTCTCACAATCATGTCGTCTATTATCCCTCTCAACAGTCATCGAAAAGCCTTAATAGGATCACCTTCAAACTTCTGGTCGCACTCTACCAAGAATGGCTTTGACCTCACTCATCCCTCTACGCACTCGTCACCAACTACCGGGCCCACACACACCATCCAGACACGAGCTGATGCCATCACAATCGATCCTTCGAAATCCGCCCTTGTCATCATTGACATGCAAAACTTCTTTCTCTCCGAAGCTTTCGGCCGCGGCCAAAAAGGTCCTGGTCACATTGCCTGCGAACAGTTGGTCAAGTACGCTATCCCAGCTGCACGAAAAGCTGGCATCAGGGTCGTATGGGTAAATTGGGGGCTTACGGAGGAAGAAGCCAAAGAGATGCCGCCAGCTGTGAAACGCGCATTTGGTTTTTTCTCCATTCCGGAAGATGCAGATTTCAAAACCGACGACGCTTTTGGACACCAAGAAGGAAGCGTGAGCATGGATCGACATGGCAAAGAAAACCAGTCTTTCTACCGTGGTATCGGTGCTGACTGCGGGATGCTCAAGTTTCCAGACGGGAAAACCGTAGAGGGGGGTAAATTACTCATGCGCGATTCTTGGAACGCAGCGCTCTACCCTCCACTTGATGCCATGTATGTCGAAGGCAGCAAGTTGGAGAGTAGGCCTGACGTCTGGATCCATAAGAACAGGATGAGCGGGATGTGGGGTGCCACGACACCCCTCAAAGAGTTCCTGGATAAAGAGGGTATTAGGACCTTGTTCTTCACAGGAGTGAATACCGACCAGTGCGTGGGTGGAACCCTGACTGATGCATTTAGCAATGGGTACGACTGTGTTCTGTTAGGTGATGGCTGTGGGACGACCACACCAGACTATGCGCAGCAGTGTTGGGAGTATAACGCTGCTAGAACCTTTGGGTTTTGCGCCAGCTGTCAACAGTTTGCCGAGGGCTTGGGTAACTCTTGAATATGTAATCTACGTATCTTCATTCGAATGCAGAAACCGATGTAGAAGGATCGTAAGTACACCTGTAAAGTCAATGGTCTCCGTGGTGACTCTTGAAAGAGTTCCCAGGAGCATCTGTGGGACGGTCTAATCCACACATAGCCAAGACCAGTCTGTCCACTTCGTCACCTCCACATCCTATAAAACCCACCCTTCCTGAGCCTACTGCTGCAAAGGCTACTGAAGCGAGACGCTCCGGTTGTTGTCGAGCACGGTATACGGCCTGTTCTTTAGGTACGCCTCGGAGGAGGAGGTCTTGATTCTGCATTATCGCGGAGAGAACCGTGGTACGCAGCAAACCAGGAGCGTTTTGTACAAGATCAGTAATTACGTTCTCACTTGTTACTAACTCCCACTGAAGCCCGAAACCGTCCTTGAAGAGAGCCTTGAAGGCGTCTACTCTGTACATTGGCCAATGGAAGTATCCCGTGAATATTGTAGTACAGCCGTTTCTGGTTCGTTCGATCAAGTGATTACGTAGCGTGGTGCTCGGTTCTTCGTTCTCCAGGATGAGATTGCTCTGGACTAAGATAACATTTGGCCAGTCTGTACTGAGGCATTCGATAGCGTCTTCTACCGTTCGCGACTCGTGGACCGCTGCTCGTTGTATCAGGCGAGGCGCAATCTTATCTGATACACCAAACACCGTGGATCGATCTCCTGCTAGTGTGATGACGAGAACATTGAGCATGATGTGCGAAGCCCTTGCCAATGTGGTTTTGAATGTGAACGAAAAAGATGGGTCTGGGACTAATGGGTACGAAATAAGTAGATGGAGTCTGTTTATAAGAACAGAAATACGCTCAGAGCAATCTTCAGCTCATCAAACGAATAGGCAATCCACGCATGATTCGGCATCGTGAACAAGCAAGCAGGGAAGTAAGCTGCCAGCATGTCTGATGGGCTTGTTCTTCCGCAAATATGAAGACATGGGAGACGTCCACGAAAGTAAGTTCCACCAGCTCTGCGAAGTATCCTGAAAAATCATGTATTAAATTACACAGTTCAAGTTGCGCAGGAGTGGCGCTTCCTGATCAGACGATATCGCCCCGCCAAGGCCGCCGCGGACATCGGAAAAAGCCTCGGCTAAGCAGCGCGAACGCAAGAAGCAGCTCCGATGCTATCCCCCACCCTGGTTCTTCTACATCATTACCGGTGATACCCCCGAAACATTACGCTGCCAGGTGCTGAGGAGGAAATACACACAACATGTCAGGACTGAGGATATTAGTGCCCGTCAAGCGGGTCATTGACTATGCGGTACGTCCATTACACCAACACATAAACATGGCGCATGCATGTTCGACCTGGAGGCTTGAAAGAATGGCTCCGAGGATGATGGCACTCAAGACGGCCGTCCCAACAGCGAATGGCACTGACACCACGATCAGGTCAAACCCCGCGTGAACCGCGCCCAAACCGCCGTAGAAACCGCAAACGTCAAGCACTCGATGAATCCCTTCGACGAACTCTCCATCGAAGAAGCCGTCCGCATGCGCGAAAAGAAGGCCCACCACGCGAATGCCCCCAACGTAGAAGAGATCGTCGCCTTCTCCGCCGGCGTCTCCAAATCCCAAGACATCCTCCGCACAGCCATGGCCATGGGCGCAGACCGAGGCATACACGTAGTCGTAGAAGAGAAGGACGCTCTAGAACCACTCGGCGTCGCGAAGCTTCTACGGAAAGTAGTAGACGAGCAAAAGAGCAATCTTGTAATTCTAGGCAAGCAAGCCATCGACGACGACGCCGGCCAAACAGGACAAATGCTCGCAGGCCTTCTCAACTGGCCGCAAGCGACACAAGCCTCCAAAGTCACAATCAACGATCAAACCGTCGAAGTCGTCCAAGAAGTCGACGGTGGTGTGCAAACAATCAAAGCCAAACTTCCCATGGTCATTACCACGGATCTGCGCCTCAACGAACCCCGATACGCTAGTTTACCCAACATCATGAAGGCGAAGAAGAAGAAGCTGGACAAGAAGAGTCTGAGCGACTATGGGCTGGACACGGAGATCAGATTGAAGACAGTAAAGGTTACCGAGCCACCACCACGGAAGGGTGGTGTCAAGGTAGAGGATGTGGATGGCATGATTAGCAAGTTGAAGGAACTGGGTGCTTTGTAAAGAGCATGCCTATGTATGAATATTCCAAAAAGACTGAAATGCAACAAAAACGGTCAGATCCTCGCAGCGTTTGTGCGACTACAACCTGTCGCCCCATACATTGTCCCCCATGACCTCACGATCCTTCACGTCCAGTTTCCCGTAGCCTGGTTCCTTCTTCCTCACCCTCAGATCCTCCTCATCCTCACTACTGTATTGCACGTTCTCGTTTTTGAGATACTCCTTAACTCCATCACTGTCCTCCTCGCTCCGCTTGACATACCCACCAGTATAATCGTGCGACTTGACCCTCTTGACACCCACCCAACCCAATCCCTTCTGTAGCCCGTTCAACTCCTCCAACTCCTGCTCGCTCAGCCCCTGAGCTCTTTTCAAAGTCAGAAGGGAGTTGATTCTTTCCGAAGTCTCCAAGTAGGATGACCGGTCTTTCTCATTCCATTTCGCGCTGTATACGTCTGGCTGTTCGAGATCGACGCGTATGACTTCCCACCAGTGAGATCGCATGGCTTGCGAGAATGTTCCGTCAAGGTTTTCCTGGTGTGAATCGATGCGGTAGAATGCTGTTGTGTTGCCGTCCAAGGTATCTGTCCATGTCGCGTTTACCTTCTTCCTCCCCGTCTTATCTTCTTCGTCCGTGTCTGCGTTGGGATTACAGCCTTGCAACACACAATCAGCAAGCTTCTTGTCCGCCGCTTCTAAATCATTGAACCACGCGACAATCTCGACATATTGCTCCGAATTTTTGGGGTATTCTAGTTCAATGTACCATTTTTCTGCGAGCGTGGTACCGGACATGGTAACGCCAATACTAGGGTATTCATAATTGATGTGATCGTGGCCGGTCCACTGAGAAGGAATTTTAGGTAGTTCGGCGGAGGCGACGCGGAATGAGGGTTTGTCTTTGGAACGTGAGTGGGAATGGATGACTAGGTAGACGGAGTTGACAGCCATTTCGGATATTGTGCAACTTCTTGACAAAAGGCTTGGGATAGGAGATGGATGTACTCGTAATACAACTCGGGACTCGTGGTGGACAAGCTTTGTGTAGAGTGACCCTTTTTGCTAACAAACTAGCACGGTTGCGTGAAAGCATGCCTCAATTTTTGCTACTACCCGCTGCCACCTAGGTTTGATCTATGTATGTCCCTGATCTATCTTAGTTCCCAAAATTGACGGCGAAAACTTGCCACCAGTACCTAGTCATGACACTCGTAGTCCCATCATCAAGCGTTGTCGGCTGATGAACAACGTAAAAAGCGCTATCCATCATGTGATCATTTAGCTTCGAAACATCCCAAAGAGACTTTGGAGCTCCTATCACTTTGATACCGGTTGCCCTGAACCCGTCTATATGCTTCTTTGCTTCATCGACCAGGAGCTGCTGAGCGACGTCCTTAACGGGGTTGTGGCCAGAGATTCGCACGTCTTCCTCGCAAGATTTGCTGTGAACTAACCTAGTCTTCCATCGCGTACCGTCTGCAGCTACCACTTCCACTTCATCGTATGTGTTGTCACGGTCTTCAAGCTGCGCGAAATCCTGATCATGCCGGATCTTCTCCGCCCAGCTGAATGAGGGTCTCCTACGTTTTCCATCCTCCCTAATCTGCTGAGCAGTACGGAGGTGGAGCTGGAATCTGAGAACTATGTAGATGATTTGTGTAGCCATTGTCTTTCGTGGAAAATGATAGAGATGAGAAGAGGGACTCTGTATTGCTCATGAACTCTTTTATACACGTCTCTGGCTACTAATGAGACCGCTGATGCTAGTCGCGTGGAGGAGCCATTGTACCAGAAGCACCTTAGATCACGAGGATTGTGCGGCAAAGAAACTGAGGAAGCTTCCCGTAGTAAGGCCGCCAACCAAAGATAGCGACATGAAGCTTCCTGCTGCCTCAAGTTCTTCCGGTTCAACCCACTCAGCGAAGCCCATCATGCAGCTGCTACCCAAGTAGCCATTTGTTATGCCAAAGAGTAGCTGTACAATGAAGAGATAGAAGAAATCAGAGTTGACGGCGGCGCCTTTCCCACCGATGTTGCAGAGGAAGTACAAGGGTATGAAGAGTACACGCGCGATGGACAGAAAGAACAAGAGGCGTGGACGATGCGTAAGACGAAGGGCAGGTAGAGCGGGTCCCACTCGACCCATGAGGTCACCAAGGTTCCAGAAAAAGAAGCCTAGAGGGATGAAAGTTGCTGGTTGGAAAAGGCGAGGAGCCGTTGCTGGATCGCGTACGCTTAGTACTTGTGGCGTGAAGACAGGGAAGAACATGGTAATTGCGAAGGTGATAAAGACGGCGCCGGCGAGCCAGAAGAGCTTCTTGAGCATGCGCGTCAGCGGTACACTCTTGCGCTCGTTGTGCGTTGGACCGTATTCGGGTCCTTGGTCGTACGATGCTTGCGACATGCGCTGCTTTGAGCTAGCCCTGGAGAGGAGGTAGAAGAAGGCTACCAATGTCGCAGCAGAGACAGCCGTGGCGGTCAAGAAGTAGATGAAGGCAGAGGTGCTCGACTCTTGCGGCGCTCCGTCGGTATGCTGCTTCTTAGGTACAGACAGAACCGATATGATCTGGGTGATGGAAGGCAAGACACCGGCAATGCCTTGACCAGACATGATTCCTTGGGTATATTCCTCTCTTCCAAAGCCCGATACATATGCAAAGACGCCGTTCTGGCACAAGCCTGTGGCAAGGCTGGCGCTCAACACCATGAGCATGAGAAAAGCGAAGTAGACACCGACGGATATGTTCAAGAAGAACTTTGTGGATATGGCGAGAAGAGTGAAGACGACAGCGTTCAAGGCGAGCGATGCGATGATGCGTTTGGGGTAGTTGGCACGAG